CTCTGGCTGAGTTACTGACATCCTCAAATCAGGGTTTAAAGGCTTCAAGTTACAGAAAATTCAACATTAATTCATCAGCTATCGAACCCTTCCCTCCGCCCCCCAGGGGTAAGAGCTCATTCCAGGAGAGCACAAGCAGCAATTCTGGCAGTGCTTCAGGAGGTGCCCTTCCTTGATGTCTGTAAACCAGCCACGTGGGGCTCCATTCACACCTTTACGAGACACTATGCCCAGGTCAGGTCTCCTCTGCTGGTGCCTCCTTTGGAACAGCTGTCCTTCGCTTAGCCCAGCTGTCGGCTTCCTCACACCCTCCTCCCACTGCTTGTCAATCACCCCTGGTGGAATACAGTAGGGAACAGCACTAGAAGAAGAAGGGGATGTTACTTACTGGTAACTGGAGGTTCTTTGAGATGCATGGTCCCTAACTGTATTCCACTCCCTGCCCTCCTTCCCCTCTGCTGCAGGTTGGGGAGAAGGAACTGTAGAAGCAGTTGATCTGCCTCACCCTTTATCCCCTCGGTCAGAGGCACGAGGCGAGTCAGGGCACATGTGCGGACCAGCAGACCCGACTTTCACATTCTCCAGTTCCGGGCACATGGCGCATGCGTAACCCACAGTGGAATGCAGACAGGGCCCACACATCTCGAAGAACCTCCCGCTATGGGTCAGTAACCTCCTTACTGGGCTCCTTCCAGCTGTGGCTCATTAGAGGGCCTGAAAGAGGCCAGGGAGTCACTGAGCTTCCCGTTCTGACTGGGCCCGTATCAGCCGTGTGATAGCCTCAGAGTTCTCCATGGGGTGGGGGGGCTGCACTGGCCCCCGAAGGGCATTGACATCTGTTCCTCTCATGAAGAAGGAATCCTCTAACCTGGAGTCATGCCTGATGAATTAGCCATGCCCAGAGACAGCTGGCACACCCAGCATTTGGCACCCAGATGGCTGCCCCTGGGTGCTGCCTCAGACACATTATTTCCAAAACTTTAAACCTATGGAAACTGCAGCCCCAGGCAAGCTGTGTGCCAAGGCTAAGCTAACCTGTGAGGAGCCCAGCATATTAGCAGTAAGTCCAAATTGTCTGGTCTCCCATCATGCAGCCGGTGCCTTGGCAGTCGAAGTGTGGCAATCCCTGTGGGAATCAGCAGGGTCTTAGCTCTCCTCACCAGTGTCCTGAGGGTTGGGCCCTGAATACTGAACACCTGCAGGCTTCTCTAAAAGGGCTGGGATGGGGTTTGATTACTGAGCAGACTGATCTCCAGCCCAGCTGTGTCTCTCTGCTTCCACACCCCCATGACGGAGTCCACTCAGCACAGATGGCGCGGCCTCCTGGCGGTTCTGGGGATTAGCTCTGCCAAGCTAACACCCCCTCCAGCAGTCGCACTGCATCGCTCTGGCTTTCTTTCTCTCCGGCCCCTCTCTCGTTCCAGGCACTGTAGCCTCCCCTCAGCGGCTCGGCCCTCTGGCCAGCGTACTCCGTGGTTTCCTCACCCGGAGTGTCTTTCAAAGTCACAGAAAGTGTCAGGTAGCCCCCATGCCCACTGCCCTGACAGTGTCACTCCATCAGTGACCCCGGCTGCCTTCCCATTCATTGCCCCAGATGCTGCTCCCTCAGCAGCTGGGAGGGGAACCAGGCCCATAGAATCATAGAATATTAGGGTTGGAAGAGACCTCAGGAGGTCATCTAGTTCAACCCCCTGCTCAAAGCAGATCAACCCCAACTAAATCATCCCAGCCAGGGCCTTAAAAACCTCTAAGGATGGAGATTCTACCCCTAGTCCAGGTTCCAGTCCAGCTCCCTGCAGTGCACAGTTCAGATGTGCCTCTCCGCCACCGTCTTCTCTCCCCACGGCTTCTTTCTCCCCTATCTAGAGTTGCAAGGTGTCCAGTTTTCGATTGGAACACCCAGTCAAAAAGGGACCTTGGCAGCTCCGGTCAGCACCGCTGACCAGGCCATTAAAAGTCCAGTTGTCCCCAGGCAGGCTGGGGTACAGGAGGGGGTTTCAGAGTGCTGGCTCCCCGCAGCGCTCACCTCAGGTGCCTCCCAGGAAGTGGTGACATGTCCCTGCGGCTCCTAAGTGCAGGGTTGGCCAGGGAAGCTCTGCAAGCTGCCCCCAAGCGCTGCCTCTGCCCCTGCAGCTCCCATTGGCCGCGGATCCAGGGGAGCCTGTAGCCCGAACTCCCTCCCGCACCCCCAGCCCTGAGCCCCCTCGCACACCCCAACTCCCTGCCCCAGCACGGTGAAAATGTTCTAGTGAGTGAGGGTGGGAGAGAGGGAGCATCAGAGGGAGGGGGGAGGGGCCCTAGAGAAGGGGCGGGGCCTCAGTGAAGGGGCAGGGCAGGGCAAGGCTATTTGGTTTCTGCCAATAGAAAGTTGCCAACCCTACCCCTACCTCAGGAAGTGGGGCTGGCACTGTTGTGGCAGGCCCATCTGATTGGGCCCACTTGGCCTAACTCAGCCCCCTGAGGGCCAGTGTGGGGAGTATGGCCCCTCACCCCACTCAGCACATTTCAGTGGGGTAATGATGTTCACACAACATTAGAGCTGTACAGCTAAGCGCTGCAAAGTCAATGACTGCTGAGATGGGTCTGCACTGAAACCTGCACCTTACCCCTTGGATCGTCTCAGCCCTGTCGTATCACAGCATCTTGGGCTGTCCTCGCCGCATGAGACATTATGGACTTGCAGGAAGATTTATTAGCGGAGCACGGCTGGCAGGGTTGTTATCACTGATCACGTGTATTCTGCTGTAGTACTTGAGGAGCAGCACATGCTCCTGTCATTGAAGGCTGCGTGGAAGTTCCCCGGGGCAGAGGTGAGTCTGTGTGGGCAGCCAGAGCATTATAATTCCTCCCCCGCCCCCTTTTGGCTGGTTAACTCTACTGTTGCATTCAGGGGAAGGGTGGGGAATTCCTCACAGAAGGAGCGTCCATCTCTGGGGGAATGGGGTGGCCAACATTGCAAACTGAGCACTTAAATTGTAATCCATGGGATTGTTTGTGTGGATGGGAGCGTCTCCCAGCCGCCCATGGAGAAGGACCCAGAGCACAGTCCCTCTGAACAGATCCAGGGCTGGCGGCCCCATTTGAGAAGTGCTCAGAATGCTTCAGGACACTAAAGAATACATATAGCCACTGCCACGGGCTGGGGCAGAGCCTGGGCAGCACTTGAACCATGCAGAGAGGCTGCACTGGGGCCCGGCTGGCAGCACTGTGCCCCCCCAGCTGTATGGAACAGGCTCCACAGCAGCCTGGGCACAGCCAGCTCAGTTTGGCGGTAGCCTGAGGACAGGGCCCCGTGCAACTGATCTGGGAGGGCAGCGGGGCACAGCCCGTCACTTGGAAGCGGCTTGGAGGCCTGGAGAGGCGGCTGTGCAAAGATGGGTCTGTCCGCTGTAAAGGGGAGTCAAGAGGGGACAGGATACAGGGTACCAAGTAGAGAATGGGATGGAGAAGGTAAATGGCACACTGCTCTCACGCACACACACCACACACACACACAAGACAAGAGCAAGGGAAAAGACAGCACATTTACACCACTCAAAGGACATCTTGTAAGATGAGCATGTCGTTATCTTGTGGAACTCACTGGCACAGGATGTCACTAAGGCCAGGAGCTAAGGAGGATTAGAGATCACAGGGATAAGGGAAACACCCATAGTTACAGGAGATGGGACCCTCCTGCTTTGGGCATGAGCTCACCACATACTGGTGGGGTCGGGAAGGCATTTCCCTTAGGGGCAGGGTAATAAATAATTGTCCACCAGAGTAATAAAAAATTGTCCACCTGTCTTTTGAAGTAGCTGGTGCTGGCCGCGGTCAGGGAAGTGGAGCAGTGGGTTGTGGGTCTGATCTGCTTGTGCACCTCCTAGCTTTCTACTCCAGGCCTGGGCTCGTATGCCCCAGCTGCTGGGAAGCAGAGCATCCCACTGCAGGAGCCAGTCTGAGCTGGGCGCTTTGACTGGCCACCTCTGCCCACTGTTGACTTGGCTTCATCGGTCTTCCTGGGAGCAGCAGGTGCATTGCCCCATGGGCTGTTTCAGTGCTGGGGCTGCGACAGGCAGAGCTGTGGGCAATGAGTGAAATCAATGGCCAGGCCTCCAGGCAGTCCCTTGTCTGGGGTGGGTTTGGAAAGCACCTGGCACACTTTGGGGGCTGCCCAGACCCCTCACAGGGCTGGGGACGTGGCAGCCAGTGCTCCCAAGAGGCTCAGAATGGGGACAGCGGGCAGCTGCGGGTCAGAGCAATGGGGCACTGGCATCATTGTGTCTAAAGGCTCAGGACTCTGGGTCATAGAATCATAGAATATCAGGGTTAGAAGGGACCTCAGGAGGTCATCTAGTCCAACCCCCTGCTCAAAGCAGGACCAATCCCCAAACAGATTTTTGCCCCAGATCCCTAAATGGCCCCCTCAAGGATTGAATTCACAACTCTGGGTTTAGCAGGCCAATGCTCAAACCACTGAGCTATCCCTCCCCCCTATTGAATAGCTCAGCAGTGCTGAGTATGGGGAGCCCAGGGCTGGAATGGTGGGCGGCTGGTAAGGGGCATTGCCAGAGCTGTGGACCCCAGGGCTGGAATAGCAGGACAGGACTGTGGTGCCCCAGAAGAGTTCTCTTTGGGAGTTAGCACAGCACCTGGCTACGCTGTCTGGCTCTCTGCAGCACTCCCACCAGTCATATTGACAATCACCCCTTGTCAATATGTGCCCCCCGCCCCTTTTTGATTTGCCTCTCAAAGCCGTGAATGCCTTGGAGCGCTGGCTGGCCCAAGGGATGCCTACAGCTCCCCTGGCACCTGCCATCGGAGTCAGAGGGGCAGAACGCAGGAGAGAAGGCAGTTGCGGAGGACAGGAGTTATGCCTGGGCAGAATGGAAGTGGGCCCAGGTCAAGCATTGTAAAGAAGGGGCAGGAAGATCAAATGTAGAAGGAAGGCAAGATTTAGAGGGCCTTGAACTGTGCTGAGCTGATGAGCTATGGACAGCACCTAACATCCTCATTTACAGCTGCCTTCGTTGCAGAAAAGAGAGTGGACCTGGGACGAGAGCAAAATGCTGGTGATGCAGGATCCCATCTACAGGTAAGAGCCCCTCAAGGTGGAATGCGGCTCCCCTGCGCTGTGATGCTGCCCAGCCAGTGCTCTGGGGGTGCCTGGAGCTGTCCTGGGCTCTCACACAGCCCAGCCAGTGCCCTGGGGGTGCCTGGAGCTGCCCTGGGCTCTCACACAGCCCAGCCAGTGCCCTGGGGGTGCCTGGAGCTGTCCTGGGCTCTCACACAGCCCAGCCAGTGCCCTAGGGGTGCCTGGAGCTCCCCTGGGATGTGACGCTGCCCAGCCAGTGCCCTGGGGGTGCCTGGAGCTGCCCTGGGCTCTGATGCTGCCCACTCAGTGCCCTCGGGGTGCCTGAAGCTCCCCTGGGATGTGATGCTGCCCAGCCACTGCCCTGGGGGTGCTGGCTCTGACACACAGCCCACTGGGCCCCGTATTTAGAACCCAGAGGGGGATCATCTGCAGTACAGGTGCTGGAATTTTAGGGCCCCCAAGGTCACCCCAGACAGGCAGCCGAATCGGAGCCAGGCCAGGAGTCACTGAGCCCCTGTGAATGAGCCGCTTCGAGGAAAAACCGTTCTCTGGTAGGGATTAGAGCTGCCCACTGGTGCTCCTCCAAACCTGGGACAGAGGAGCGGCGCGGTCCTGAACCCCAGCAGCCCTTAGGCCCACTGGTCCTTGTGTCTGAGACACGGAGCTCCTGCAGCGGGAGGGAAGGGCAGGGCAGGGCTCCATGATCTGCCAGCAACCAAGGCAGGGGTTAGCACGTGCTCTGTGCCAGCCCCTTGCTTTTCCCCACTGGGCACCATCATTGCCCGACTCTTAGCTCGCCCAGGGAGCTGGCTGCTTTGGAGAGCTCCTGAAGGGCACATGCCCCAAATCCGCCCTCTGGCCCAGCGGGGAGGTCCTCAGGGGCTTCCTCCCCATTACACCCCATCACTGCAGCTGCACTGGCAGGACTGGCCTAGCGGGTGCTGCTGGCCAGGGGGAAAAGCTGGGCTAGTGGGTGCTGCTGGCCAGGGTGGCAGAGCCCTGTGGGGGCAGGGCTGGACTAGCAGGTGCTGCTGGCTAAGGGGCAGATCCTTGTGGGGGCAGGGCTGGCTAGCAGGTGCTGCTGGCCAGGTAGGGGCAGTGCTGGGCTAGTGGGTGCTGCTGGCCAGGGGGCAGAGCCCTGCGGGGGCAGGGCTGGGCTAACAGGGTGCTGCTGGCCAGGTGGGGGGCACTGGCAGGGCCAGGTGTGGGGAAGGGGGAAGAAACGTGACTAGGGAAGACGGCAGGTGTCCACCCAATATGGTGGCCCATTCCCTTTCACTGTGAGGGTCTGTGGGGCCCAGTCACCCGTAAGTCACTGATGAGCTGTCGGCCAGTCCCAGCTGCTCTGCTGGCTGCTGTGTGGCCCCCCAGCCAGCACGGTGCCGGTGCTGATAGGGGTAGTGGAAGGGTTGGGAGCAGGAACAGACCATGAGTACTGCAAGCACCTGGCCCACAAGCAGCATGAGTGAGGCCTTCCAGCCCACTGAGCACCACAGATGGGGCTTGCATTGCAGACGTCCCTCCCTTCTCTCCCTGCAGGATATTCTACGTGTCCCACGACTCCCAGGACCTGAAGATCTTCAGCTACATCGCCAGAGACGGCTCCAGCAACGTCTTCAGGTGTAACGTCTTCAAGTCCAAGAAGAAGGTACCTGCGGCGGGGCTGAGGGGATGCAGGGTCTCTGGGAGGGTGCAGGGTGGGGTGTGGCAATGTTGTTGACTCAAACGCGCTGTGCCCATGGGGAGGTCCTGGGAATGGCTGTTTCTTGGATACCCCAGAGCTCCCGGATTCTCCCTCCAGCGCCACCACCAGCCTGCGGCAAGGCAGAGCCCCAGGAGCTCCAGGTGTGCCTTGCCTCGGAGGCACGGTAAGGCCAGAAGCGCTCAGCCCCCTCCTCACACACCCTGCTGTACAGAGCCTTCCGGCCACTTCCTCTGGGACTGGCCAGCAAGGAGCTGCCCAGCCTCCCCACAGCCATTGTCCCATCGTGCACTGGGCAGAGCCAGCAGGGTCCTCTCACTGCAGTGGGGGGTTCTTGGTACCACACCCCTGGGGTCAGCGGATTTGCCTGGCCTGGGCTGTGACAGGACCTGCTCTAGGCACCAGCAAACCAAGCACATGCTTAGGGTGGCACAATTTCAGGGGCGGCATTCTGGCTTCCGCAGTTGCGCTCTCAGAGGGTTTTTATTTTTTTTGCTTGGGGCAGCAAAAATCCTAGTGCCAGCCCTGGGCTGCGAAGCCATCCCCTGGCTCCTCACTGCTTCTCTCCCCTCTCAGCACCTGACGCAACTCACCACGGCCAGGGCAGCGGTGTTGATGCTGTGACTGATGGGTCAGAGGGTGCAGCGGGCAGCCAAGCTATCTCCATTGCACAGGAGCTGCGAGGCTCGGGCTGTGCTCTGGGAGAGCTGTCATTCCCCAGGCCTTGAAGGGACTGGCCACGCCGGCTGGTTTGGATGTGCAGGGCATGAGGCTGATGTGGCTGTGAGACCCCTGAGGGCAGGACCACGCTGCCCCGGCGTGCTGTTCTCAGAGAGCTGTGGCCATCACCTCTCCCCTCCCCTCCCTGTCAGGGCAGCGAGGAAAAGCTCCCAGCTGCTCCCCCCTCACCCTACCCTGTGCACCAAGGTGGGGCCCCTCACCGAGAGGGGATGGGCAGCAATGGATCGCGCTGTGGGGCTGCACCGGGAACCGTGTGATAGTTAACATCCCTGCTAGAGATCCTCGACAGCTGGGAGTCAGCACCCACCGAGCGAGGGGCGGAGTGCTTAGAATGACACCTGGAGCCGAAGCTGGACAAATGCCAGCTAAGGCCAGAGGCCAGTGGAGGCATGATCTGAACTGTGTGGAGGGCAGAGCTGTGCAGCGAGTGCCAGAGGTATTCGAGACAGAAATCACCCACTGTTGCCAACTCCAGTGCAGCTTTTCTGGAGGTAGCACTCAGGGCTAAAAGTTTGGCATGTTCCTAGGAGCCTCGCTGGATCAAGGCCTTAGAGACCATGATGCCACAGGGCCCCAGGGTAGATCAGAGCTCTCCCTTTGTGCCTGGACTAGGGGATGGCTGGGACGCAGCCCTTTGCAGAGCCCTGGGCCCTCGAGCCATCCAGGGCTCCGGCTCAGCCTCAGGATGCTCCCAGGGGTTCTGGTCAGCAAAGCCTCCCGTGCTGTCAGCAACTGCAGCGGTTTGGTGCACGATCCCTACGGCCCATCATCACAGCTCCTCTCTCCTCTGCCCCAGAGCCAGGCCATGCGCATCGTCCGCACCGTGGGGCAGGCCTTCGAGGTCTGCCACAAGCTGAGCCTGCAGCACACCCAGCAGGACGCGGACGGGCAGGAGGATGGTGACAGCGAGGACATGGGTGGCCCAGGTAAGCTGCAGCAGGCGGGGAGAGGCTCTGTGCTCGAGACTCCTGCTGAGGGCAGGCCATGGTCTCCAGTCGTGCTCTTGGCCTGCAGGTGTTTTGTGGCTCGCGCAGGGAGAGGGCTGCCCCTCCGGAGTTGGCGCCCCCCCGGAGCAATGTACAGGTGCCGGGTAGTGCAGGGACCCCACAGGGGCGCGAAGGCCAGCAGTGTCTGACAGTGCCATTCTGCCCCCACTAATGGAGGGCTGTGAGAACAAGGCGTGCACACATCCTCTCCCTCTGGGATGTGAACCCAGAGATGGGAGTGGCATCCTGGCCTTTGTCCTATGGACCTTCCGCCCTGCTGGGAGCCCGTTCACGGGGCTGCGGATTGTGCCATCTGCAAGTGCTCATATTAGACAAGCCCCTGTTGGGGATGGTCTAGGTGTGCTTGGTCCAGCCTCGACATGGGGCAAGGGACTGGATCGAGGGCCCTTCCAGCTCTGCAGCCCTGAGATTCTCATTTGCAGCCCATAAACATTTACTTTGTGCACACGTAAAAGTGAGAACACCGTATTAAAGCAATTCCTGGCCTCGAGCAGATCTTCCGTCTCCGCCCTGGGTCTGGCCCTGGGGAATTCTCTGCTCTGAGTCGCAGTGAGCACCAAACAAGCAGCTCCTGAGCCGACAGAGTCTCGGAGGAGTTGCCTCAGCCGGGGCCGAGAAAACGAAGTTACACCGGTCACTGGGGTTACAATACGGCAGTGTGTGGGGAGGGGGCATGCTTGTCTCCCGAAGAGGCGCCCAGTGCCATGGGGCGGGGAGGATCTCGGAAAGGGGATATGCCCCTCCCCATATGATGGACAGAGATGGCACAGACTGGTAGAGGTGACGGGTTGGGGGCATGTGGAGTCACATGCCTCCCAAGATTGATCGGTCACATGGTGCGGTTGGACCCCCTCTCTGTGGGGCAGCTGAGCCTGCAAGCTGGGCAGGGAGAGGCAGAGGCAGGAGGAACAGCTGGCAGCTGCAGGGAGATGCTGCTGCTTTCCGGGGCGGGGGGCGTGACTTGAGCTGTTCCAGGGTTGCCCCCCACTATCAGCAGGCACGGGTCATCTCTGCAGACTGGATTTTGGGTGTACCACAGGTTGGGTTTGGGGGGCGTCAGCAGAGCTGTGGGGGAGGGAGGCAGCCCAGGGCTGAGGTAGAGGGGGGCTGCAGGTCAGGATTGAGGGGCATTAGCAGAGCTGGGGTGGGAAGCCCAGGGCTGGAATAACAGGGCGGCTGCGGGTCAGGATTGAGGGGCATTAGCAGAGCTGGGAGTGGGGAGCCCAGGGCTGAGATAGCAGGGGGGCTGCGAGTCAGAACTGAAGAGCATTGGCATCTCTCCTAGGCATGGAGCACGCCAGGGTTAAGCGAGTGCATTTCATGAGGAGTCAAGCCGGAGCCAGTTTGGCGTGTTCTTCCCCATGTGCCAGGTTGGGCCCTGCATACATTTCTCTCTTGTCCATCACCCCAAGGAATGGCTTGGTTCTCAGGTCTGCTCGCCCTCCTGCTCACCCTGCCGGTGCTGAGACAAGGTGTTACATGGGATGTCCCTTAAGCACAGACCTGTGCCCTCAGGGACCCACTGCCAGGCAGCCCCGTTGCAGACCCATCGCCTCTTTCTTCCGCTCCTCCTCCTCATAATTCTGAGCTCTTATAGTGGACTGAACTCAAAACAGCATCATTAGGTGTCAAAGTCATTCCAGCAGGGCATATGGGGCAGTTCATACTCTCAAACCCATTGACGTCCAGTCAGACAAGGGCCCCACATACAACAGTCTCTTCACGCTGTTCCTCTAGGAGTTATGTCAGCAAATACTTTAGCTCAACTGACAGCCTCAGTGTCGGCCAGCACTGCTGCATGCTCCTGTCCTAATGCTGGCCAGGGCCCATGTATCCTGCCCTCCTGCTGCCCAGTGATTGGCTGTGCAATCCCTCTGCTGCACAGCTGCACTCTGTAGAAGGTGACTGTCTGCCTTTCTCAGAGGAGATTTCTCCAGAAAGTGAGCCGAGCACAGTGAGATAGGGCTGCATCCTGAGCCTGCTCACAGCCTGAAATCATCATCTGGAGGGCTGTGAACCACCCACCCACCCCCGTCTCAGAGGGGTGACCCGGAAGCCTACTGCTGACAATTTGAATTTTGCCGTGAACTGTTCCACCATCAATCATTTCTGCAGGAACAGCCAGTGAACGTGTTCCTCCTGCATGCCCTGTTCTCCTCCCCTGCATTTCCAGGAGCCAAGAGACCAGGTAGTGATACCGTTCCTATCCAAGGTCATTGAGAGACCTGCATGCGGTGCCATCCATTCCCCGCACTTCCCCTCATCCTGGGTCGCTCGTGGCTGGCCCACCATAACTCCCTTCTCAGCTGGCACAAGCTAAAATCTCACAATTCTGCCAGCAGCACTTCTTGACCCCAGCAGTCGCACACCAGGGTAGCTGGCCCCACAGAGCCGCCCACTGATTCCGGTCCTCAACTTCCATCCAAATACAGCGACTGCAAAGATATCGTCAAACCGCCTGCAGACACCTTGCCCCCCACAGGGACTATGGCTGCCCAGTTGAGCTACAACCAGGGGTAGACATTCAGATGTATGGACACCATGTTGGAGCCCGAACTGGCTACACTGTGCTCCAGCTAGCCAAGGGCTTTATTCCTAAATCCATTTTGCCTGCCGGAGCCCCAGTCCTTTTTGTTATTAAAAAAAAAAAGGTTGGAAGCCTCAGACTATGTGTGGACTATCAGGCCCTGAATCAAGTCACCATTAGAAACCGATACCCATTACCACCAATCCCCGAGCTAATGGACCACATGAGCACCGCCTGGGTACACACAAAGCTAGCCCTCCAGGGGGCACACAACCTAGTACAAGTTAGAGCTGGAAACAAATGGAAACCCTCTATTCGAACACTCTATGGGCACTTTGAATATCTCGTGATGCCCTTTGGTTTGACAAATGCTTGCGATGTTTCAGCATTTATTAATGATGTGCTCTGGAACATTGTGGGCCAATACGTGGTGACATACTGATCTTTTCAGACAGTGCCAAACAACACAGCACGCACATCTGTTCTGTCCAGTCTCTATATGAAGCTAGAAAAATATGCCTTTGATCAGTCCTCCGTAGAATTCCTAGAGTCATCCTATCTCCCGCGGGTACTGAAATAGACCCACGCAAGATAAAGGCAGTCCTCGAATGGGGGAGCACCATGGAACGTTCATGAACTACAGCCTTTCCTGGGTTCCCAAACGTCTATCATCGGTTCATCCCCAAATTCTTGTAGCGGATCGCCCCTCTCGTTGCCTTGCTCCTCAAAAACACCAAGTTCCTGTGGTCTCCAAAGGCCCAGCAGGCCTTCAAGCAATTAAAACTTGCGTTTATCACCACTCCCAAAGTGGTCCATCCCGACACCACATAAGCCTTCATCATCAAAGCAAGAGCTTCCAACCTGACGATCAAAGCGGTTCTACCCCAAAGGAACAATCCTCAATGATTGCTGCACCCACACGTCTCGAAATTTTGGACAAAGAACTCCTGGCAATTAAGACAGCCTTTGCAGAGTGGCACCACTATCTAGCAGAGGCCCGATAGTCTGTCCAGGTGTACACCGATCATAAGAACTTCACATATCTGCATAGGGCCAAGGCCTCCAACCAACAACAACTTCGGTGGGCTTTATTCTTTTTGCACTTTGATTTTGCAATCTCCTGTCATCCAGGAACCCAAACTAGCAAGGCTGACACTTTGTCCCAGAAGGAACGCTGATCTTAAAGACTTGAACCCAAAAACCTCCTCCATCCTCAAGCCTCAGAATTTTCTGGGCACGGCTCCCCACCAAGATCTGCTCACCTTCATATGATCAGCCTTCACCCAGGGAGTCCCTCCAGTCAAGCAGAAAACCATAAGTAAGGACCCCCACGATGTCCGAGACAGGGAAACCTACTGAATGAGCATATATATGTTCTCCCTAGGCCTCCAAGGACTACAGCCCTACCAGTATGCCATGACACCCTCCCACGCCCCCGGCAGGACATTTTGGCTGTTTTAAAACTCAGCGCCTTGTCTCTCATATCTTCTGGTGTCCTCACATGCAGGCCTTTGTTGCAATGTATGTACCCACTCCAAGGCACTGCACAATAAACCCTGGGAACCCTTGAACTCCTGCAGTCCCTTGAGACTCCCCCGGCCCCTGGACAGTCATTGCCTTAGATTTGCTAGTAGAACTACCCAAGTCCGGTGGTCTTTTTAGCATTCCGACGGTAGTGGGCCACCTCACAAAGATGGCACATTCAGCCCAGCACTGGCCTAACCTTCTCCCAGGAAACTGCCCAGCTCTATGTGGACCAAGTTGTCTGCCTCCATGGCGTCCCACAGCACATGGTCTCTGAGCACGATGTGTGATTTATCTCCCACTTTATGTGAGAAGCTCTCTGGATTTTGGGCATCTGCTCCTGCCTCTCTTCCACCTACCACCCTCAGACAAAGGGTCAAGTGGAGAGAACCAACCAGATTCTGGAGCAGTATCTTCAACACTACATAAACTTCCACCAGAACAAAGGGTTCTTGCTGCTACCTCAGGAAGTGTTCACGTACAATAACGCAGAACATGCTTCTACAGTGCAAAGCCATTTTTTTTTCAAACTATGGGTTCCATCCTTGGTTTTACCTGGAGCTAACCACAACTTCACACAACCCAGCAGCCTTGGACTAGACACAATATATGTCAAACCCAAGATGACCTAAAAGTTCACCTGAAGGACACCTAGAAGAAAGAAACAACATGTGGACTGTCAATGACAGGAGGGGCCTGCCCTTTTGCTAGGCCAGAAGGTATGGCTCTCAACAAAAAACATACACACAAACAAGCCATCTCATAAATTGGACTACCAGCTCTTTGGCCCCTACCGCATTCTCCAGCACATTAGCCCAGTCATCTTTGAACTCAACTTGCCCCATTCTCTCCAAATACACCCAGTTTTCCATACATCACTCCTGAAGCCCCACATTCAGGACCCATTCCCTCACCGCTCCCAACCATCACCCCACACCAGTACATGTTCATGACCATGATGAGCATATTCTCCGTGAGATCCTTGATGCCAGAATCAGACGGGTTAGACTCTGGCATCTTATGGCTTGCCAGTCCCAAAGAGAGCTCCTGGGACTCAGCAAAGAATGTCCACTCTCCTGACCTGGTAAACACCTTCCACAAAAACCAGCCTGGAAACCCAGCCCCTACTTCCGAGGAGAGGGGTTGATGTGAGCGATCCTGGGCCTTGAACCTAGACCTGAGGGTCCCCAGGCAGGGCTCAGACCACGACCACCACCCATCAGCTCACCTGAATGATTGCAAAAGTGGGCCAGCAAAGCTCTGCTTCACAAAGGGCCCACGAAGCTCCGGATTGGGGGAGACTTCTGCCCCACCGATTGGCTGGGATGCCCTACTTAAACCAGAAACAGGAAGTTGTCTGAGCAACTAGGTCAATCCCTGGCTGACTTCTGCTGCACTGTCCCCTGCCTACTGCCCTGAACCTTGCCTTCCAATCTGTTCCTGCCCTCCTTATCCCAGACCCCACCTCTGCCCATTTCCTGCCTCACTCCTGGTCCCTGCTCCTATGCCCTACCCCTGATGCTGACTCCGACTTCAACCCCTGGCTTGCCCCTGACTGTCTCTGGCTCTGACCCCTGGCTTGGCACCTAACTCTGGCTCTGGTTCCAGGCCCAATCTATCCACTAGGTCTGACTGCCCATGCCCCAGTCCCTGCAGGCACCTTCTCCAAGCAGTTATGCCGTCTCACAGCAAACACTGAAAACAGGATACTGTGGGCCAGCATAAAATGACTGGAACTGAGCATCGGATAACAGCAAGACTGTGGCACCATGGCATTATCAGTACTGCATCCCACGGAGCTGGTCGGGAATTTAGCCAACACTGCCCCCAGCGCTCCCTATGCCGCGCAGAATGCAGGGGTCTCACTGGAGTGGCAGGGGCAGTCCGGGGGCCCTACAGGCTTGGGGGAAGGCATCCTGTGGATTGACATGCTATATGCCAGGGGTGGCCAAACCATGGCTCGTGAGCCACATCCGGCTCTTTTACCATTAAAGTGTGGCTTGCAGAGCCCCCCATTCACCACCTACCAGACTGGGGGGAGAGGGGCCTTGGGGATTCTGCCCTGCAGCAGGGTGGTGGGGCTAGGAGCTTCTGCCAGAGGTGACTGGTGCCTGCTGAGAGTGAGGGGGCACAATTTAAAGGTCAGGCCTCCACTCAACAGCTTGAGTCACTCGCTCCAGGCACATCCTCCCTCTTACCCTCAGCGGCCCCACCCTGCAGCTCCCAGGTGTTAGCTCCACATGGAGAGGCCCCAGCAAAAGCATCAGTTCTCCCTGCAGCTCCCAGCTCTTAGCCGCTGCCTCTCCTTAGGCCACAGCCCCCGGCTGCCAGTTCCAGCAGCTGCCATGCAGGGAGGGGGCCCAGCGGCACCATGTGACCAAGTGGGGCTAGCAAATCCTGGCAAAAATCGAGGGTGGGGGATGTGACCCCACATGACCCCCCATGTGTCGCCTCTGGCTTCTGTCCAGCAGAGAGGTGGGGCTCAGGGCTTCAGCCCCATAGGGCGCGTCAGCCAGGGCTGCCAGCTAGGGATGCGTGACCCATGGCAGGTGTTCAGGTGCTTCCCCCACAAGGAGGAATGGTCCTTGTTTGCTAGCCAAGCCTGCATTCTCTCAGCCCCGGGGAGCTGGACTGGGGCAGAGTTGCTGTTGTCCCATCTCACCTCTGACCATGCCATTGCTGCCCCCTCCCAGCCTGTCACCCAGCCAGAGCTGAGAAGGTAGCTGTCCCCGCAGAGGAGACCGATATCGACGCAGTGGAGATCCCTCCACCAGGGAACAGCACCCTGGAGTTCAGCCGGGGGGTGACGGACCTCGACGCCGTGGGGAAGGACTTGGGGCACTCTCCGGACACCAAGGTACACCAGCCCCAGCCAAGAGCAGCTGTGCCCCAAAGGTGGCCCTTGAGCCCTGATACAGGTCTAGGGTCCCCGCAGATAGCGTGGCTTCCCAAGAGTGTGTCCAAGCGGCATTGCTCGGTGGCTTTGGGGGCAGGACGTGGGTCTGTGCCTGGGGGTGCCCTGCTCTCTCCCCACAGCAGCCCCAAAGCTTCCCACACTCTCCCCCTGTGGCTCACATGGGAGTCACTTCCCCCCCACCCGACTCAGAGAGACCTTTGGGTTTCACGCTGCCTTCCATTGGGGTAGGGAGGGAACTCATGTCTAGATATGGGTCTGGAACAACCTGTGGCAGCTCTGTGGGGTGATCAGATGGGGGGGGGCCACACCATGATCCTGAAGCTGGTACAACAGCACGTGTACTTGTGACGGCAGCTGGCATCCCCCCCACTCTGCCAGGGCATTAACAAGGGGAGCCGAGGGGCTGACCAGACCCCACAACATGGGAAATGCCTCTTCCATGAGCTGCCCCACAGACCAGGGCGAATTGCCTTTGCTGGGGCCCTGGAGGAAGCCAGGTTCACTCTCCTCTGTGCACTCCCACTTTAAGAGCTAGTGTGTGTGCCCCACACCCAGAGAGGGGGAACCTAGGCACCACGGTGTCTCCAGCAAACACACACCTTTCCCCATTGCTGGTCAGCGCAGAGCCCTGAAACCCCCGGGACATGCTGAGCCCTGAGGACACAGGCTGCGGCTCTTCAGATGGCAGACCCAGCTCTGGTCCCTGACGGTGGCAGTGCCCGGCTCCTGCTGCGGGGTGTGCTGGGCAGGGGCAGCGCAGGGTGGGAGTCCAGCTGTCATGCTTCGTTACTCTCTGTTAGGGGCAGTGGCCATTCCTTGATCCCATCTCTCCAACTCCCCCCCCATCCAGTTAGCCCCCCAACAATAAAAGAAGCTCATAGTCATTGGCTCCCCCTCATCCTGTTCTCACCCAGAGCTCCCAGCGCTGTGTCCTGCACTGCTGCAGTCCAAACACAAACTAGTCCCTGTGTCGCCCCCTCGCTCCCGTTGGCAGTGGCATGTCCTGGGAATGGAGCAATGTTAGTTTCCCAGGGAAAGCGGCAGGAGTGGAGCTACATCTCCCTCTGCCTGACCACACAGCCCATGCAGGCAGTGCACGGCTGCTGGCAGGAGAGGATCGCCTGGTGCATTAACCCAGCACATCTGGGCATTGTCAGAGGCCAGCAGAGCAGAGCGCCCTTTACCCAGGAGTTCTGCTTGTGCTTCAGAGACCAGGCCACAGCCACTCCTCTGTTGGGTCCCCAGTGCAGCCTAGGACATTGGCTTTCCACTCGCCCTGCAGAGACTCAGAGCATCCCAGAACCATCCCCGTGCTGCTAACCCGCCTAGCTGTGGTGCTGCACATTTGTCCCACCCGCTCAGCCCTGCCAAAGCTGAGGCCAGGTCCTAGTCCAGGGCACATCAGGATTGAGTGAGTGCCATGGCAAGGGAAGAGTTGGCCAGAGCACCATCTTGCAAGGGGGGTTCAGAGAACCAGGGGCTCCCCAGGATGATAAACCTCTCCCCTCCCCAGTCCCTCTTCTCGTAGCTCACACTGCACTGTACAAGCATGCCCTAATTCAGTCACACAAACATCATCCAAGGTACATGAGTACCCACTGGAGTGTGGGGAAACCGAGGCACGGAGGGGCCGTGGCTCACATGACAAGTTGGTAGCAGTACTGGGAATAGAAGCCAGACGTTCTGGTTCCCAGTCCCCTTCTCTAGCCAGTGGGCCCAAGTCCTTCCCTGTCAGCCGCAGTGCTCTGGCACACAGAGAGGTATTGATGAGGGGACGGTCCCATCTCTCCTGCCTGCCTTGCATCCCCTAGAATGGCCACCCTCAGGGCATGAGAGTTGAACAGTCGGGGTGCAGGTGCATGGGCCTCGTGCTCATGGCACCGACGTAGCCACACAGCTGGCTATGTGGTTTGTCTGGTAGGGAAAGCGCCATGTGAATCCCCAGCTTACGAGCACGCGGCTCTGCTGGGCTCTGCCAGTGGCCCCCCTGTCATTCCTGGCTCTCCCTTTCCCTCATGGGGAGGGGGGGCGGAGCCTGCGACCACCACACTGTGCTGCTTAGAACTGCTCTCCCAGTGCACCAGAGGCTGTGGAGCCCTTCGCACTGGTGCTCCCAGCAGTGAGCCTCTTGTGAGTAAGGCCACATGCATTGAGGCTTGACACCTGTGTCATTAGTGGGGTGCCACGGGGTCAGGGGAGGTAGGACCCATATGGCTCTTCCGAGGCTGGGGGCTGTCTGTTCAACCCAGGGCAGGGCAGGGCAGTCCCACTGCTGCCCAAAGTGCAGGAGGAGAGAGGAATGGTGCGATATAGCATGTCACAGAGCCAGCAGAGTGAGCTTCTGTGCGGCTGGCATGAAGAGCCAGGGCGCTGCCTATGTGATCCAGGCCTGCTTGGTGTGGCACTCTGTCCCACTCTTGTGGCACCTATACCAGCTAGAGCAGCGGTTCTCAACCTTTCCAGACTACTGTACCCCTGGAGCCCGAGCCCTGCTGCCAGGTGCTGAAGCACGTAACAGCATTACAGGGCCCCCTATGGTGTGGTGTCCACCCCTAACGCCAGCCCAGCACTTGTGACCCCTCTAAACCCATCCTGCAACCCCCAGGTTGAGAACACTGACCTAGATGAGTTGATGTACTCCCTGGAAGACCTCTGAGTACTCCAGGGGTGCTCCTGGTTGAGAACCACTGAGCTAGAGAGTGATGAGCTAGCTACAGCCTTGGCTAAAAGAGCTATGTTTGATCCTGGCCACCAACAACTGAGTGTGTCAGCATTACACATAGCCGTGAGACACCAAGAGCCTGTCTGGGAGCCAGTCCCCAGGGAGCATCTTGCCAGTGGTACCAGCTCTTGCCATTTTATCGCTATTTGGTGTGTTTGTAAAGCCCCAGCTCCTGGAGGCCCACGAATGCCTGACAGTCTCAGCTTCCATTTGTTCAGAAGAGGAAGTGTCTGGCCTCCTGGGTTGCAGAAGAAGGTCAGAAAACCCAACCCAGGGAACTCAAGGGCTCACAAGCCAGAAGGTGAAGAAACGGGTTGCTGAGGAGGGCTCACACGGGGAGCTGCCTCCTGCCCCCACCCCTGGAAGCTGCTGGCAACTAGGGCAAAGCTGTGAGCCGAGGTGCAAATCTCTGACCTCCACCCACCCCAAGTGAGGTTGGGGCCACCCTTCTGACTCTAGCTTTGGAGCATGTGTTGGCGGCCGCTGGCTCTGTGCACTCAGGTGACTCAGGCTGAGAGCGTCGTGCTCAGGGCAGCTCACCAGGCCGAGTGGCCATTCAGGGGGCAGAAGAATCCTGCTGGGAGCACCTGCTGGAGCAAAGTCAGCCTGAGCCACAGAGCCGGCCCCAGTGTCAGGGAGAGCGAGCACCTAGGTATCACAGTCCGTTACAGGGTTTCTGCCTCCTGCTGGCCTGGCCAGTGGGCTGCTCTGCGCCCAGCTGGAGGACAGAGCTGCTGCCGAGGAAGGTCAGTTCCTTAGGCTCCTAGCTTGCACTGAAGTCGGAGGTGTAACTGGAGTTAGAGACTAAGTTCCCTACGGCTGTTCTGGCTCCAACGCATTAGCCTACAGCTGTGTGATGCTTTGGAACTGCAGAGCTGTGTGACTGAATCATAGAATCATAGAATATCAGGGTTGGAAGGGACCTCAGGAGGTCATCTAGTCCAACCCCCTGCTCAAAGCAGGACCTAATCCCCAACTAAATCATCCCAACAAGGGCTTTGTCAAGCCAGGCCTTAAAAACCTCTAAGGATGGAGATTCCACCACCTTCCTAGGTAACCCATTCCAGTGCTTCACCACCCTCCTAGTGAAAAAGTTTTTCCTAATATCCAACCTAAACCTCCCCCACTGCAACTTGAGACCATTACTCCTTGTTCTGTCATCTGCTACCACTGAGAACAGTCCATCCTCTTTGGAACCCCCTTTCAGGTAGTTGAAAGCAGCTATCAAATCCCCACTCATTCTTCTCTTCTGCATACTAAACAATCCCAGTTCCCTCAGCCTCTCCTCATAACTCATGTGCTCCAGCCCCCTAATCATTTTTGTTGCCCTCTGCTGGACTTTCCAATTTTTCCACATCCTTCTTGTAGTGTGGGGCCCAAAACTGGACACAGTACTCCAGATGAGGCCTCTCCAATGTCGAATAGAGGGGAATGATCACATCCTTCGATCTGCTGGCAATGCCCCTACTTATACAGCCCAAAATGCCGTTAGCCTTCTTGGTAACAAGGGCACACTGTTGACTCATATCCAGCTTCTCGTCCACTGTAACCCCTAGGTCCTTTTCTGCAGAACTGCTGCCTAGCCATCCGGTACCTAGTCTGTAGCAGTGCATGGGAATCTTCCGTCCTAAGAGCAGGACTCTGCACTTGTCCTTGTTGAACCTCATCAGATTTCTTTTGGCCCAATCCTCTAATTTGTCTAGGTCCCTCTGTATGCTATCCCTACACTCCAGCGTATCTACCACTCCTCCCAGTTTAGTGTCATCTGCAAACTTGCTGAGGGTGCAATCCATGCCTTCCTCCAGATCATTAATAAAGATACTGAACAAAACCAGCCCCAGGACTGACCTTTGGGACACTCCACTTGATACCGGCTGCCAACTAGACATGGAGCCATTGATTACTACCTGTTGAGCCCTACGATCTAGCCAGTTTCTATCCACCTTATAGTCCATTCATCCAGCCCATACTTCTTTAACTTGCTGGCAAGAATACTGTGGGAGACTGTATCAAAAGCTTTGCTAAAGTCAAGGAATAAAACATCCACTGCTTTCCCCTCATCCACAGACCCAGTTATCTCCTCATAGAAGGCAATTAGGTTAGTCAGGCATGCTGAAGGGCAGCACACAGAGTGGATCAGGCTTCGCTTTTCTCTATATTTTCCAGGACTCCCTCCACTCTGAGAGTATCCTGACTGCATCGCCCAAGCTGCTGCTCCCCTCCTCCTCCCAGCTGCCGGACCTGGGGACCCCTCTCTCCGCTCATCACCAAATGCAGTTTCTCCGGCAGCTTCTGCAGCAACAGACGCAACAGACACAAGTGGCCATGGCCCAGGTGCTGCCAGTGTGGTTATTAGAGCCACGGCGTGCCAGGGCCAAGCGGGGCTGTGCAGGCAGCAGTGCATGCACAGGGGACCATGTGGAGGGGTTTGTGTGAGAGGTTGGTGTGCTGGGAAGGGTGGGGTGGAAATGGACACGGGCAGATAAGCCAGAAGTGGCAGAACCCTGGAGGCACAGCCAAGGAGCTTGGCCTTGATGCAGGAAGGGAGGAGCAGGCAGAGGAGGGGTCTGAAACCGGGTGGAGGTGGAGGGAGGGTTCTGAATGGCTGCAGGGACAAGTGGACGTTGGGTTATGATGATGCGGGCGGGCCTCAGTGTGGTCCTAGACAAGGGGATAGGTCTGATCTTAGCCACGGTTGAGGGGTGGGAGTTGGGTATATCACAGGAGGAGAGAGCCCGAGGTCACCCCGAATGGAGGAAGGGAATTCAGCAGGGACAGCCCGGCGGGAGGGAGAGGACCTGGCAGATCCAGTTGGGCCACGGCACCAGTCAGTTTGAGGGGAGGCAGCTCAGAAGAGAAGTCAGGGAGACAGCAAGAGCTGTGGGACTGAAGGAAGGAGTAGAGCTGCCCCCCCATACGCACTGTGCCAGGGGCATCAGGGAACCCACAGACATCCTTCCCCAAGCCACATGCCCTGCCCCCGGCCCAGCTGCCCCTGCAGCGAGTCACCCATAGCGTTCCAGGAACCTCACTGCACTGCAAGCCAATCCCCTGTGCTATGGGCAGGGGCAGGCAGCACCAACAGCCCCCAGCACTGCTGGCCCCATTGTGTGGAGGCACACGATGGGATGCCACATCCCAGGGGCCAGAGGGGCACACAGCTTAGCTCAGCCCGGCCAGTTTACTAGGACTCACAGTCAGGGGCTGGCTAATGTGTGCAGAGTGCATTGATCCCACTGTCTAGGTCTCACACCTGACAAGCGCTGAGGGCTTGTTTGCTCTGTGGGGTGTGTGGGCCAGTGAAATATCATGGGTATCAACTGCCCTTGTCGCCTGGGCTGGGGACAGGGTCCTGGCTACAACCCTCATGCAGATCTACGCAGCTCAGCAGGAATGTAAATGCAGCAAGGAATTGTCCAGACTGCTGTGGCCTGGGCTGGGCTAGGCAGAGCTCTTCTGGAGCAGGGCCCTGCATTCTCTGATGCTCAGGGTCGGCCATGGACCTAGAGGTCAAGGCACACTGCTGCGGGGGGAAAATCAGCTCCAGGTCTCAGGTCTCAATGGGTCTGTCTACTCTGCAGTTAAAACCCCGCAGCTGGCCCCTGCCAGATGACATGGGTTGCAGGGCCAGGCTAAGGGGCTGTTTGCAGTGTAGGCATTTGGGCTTGGGCTGGAGTCTGGGCTCTAGGACCCTGTGAGGTGAGAGGATGCAAGAGCCCAGCATCTACATTGCAAATTTAACAGCCCTGCATGGAGCCCCAGTCAGCTGGCAGGGGCCAGCCACACACGGGCTGCTGCCTAACTGTAGTGTGGACATACCCAGAGACCCTTGTTTCACTGGAGGCTCCAGGGAGCCATGGTTAGGGTTGCAGGGAGAGTCTGTCTCAAGATGAGCTAGCCTGGCCCTCACCTGCAGCTGAACGGCCTTTGAAACCCACGGGGCTGCCCCTCTACGTGGGGACGGGCAGCTGTCTCAGTGGGAACTTCCAGCTCCCCTGCTCCTGACAGCATGCCTTGGCGCCTGCAGCTTTGAACTGCAATTCCATCACTGCCAGCAGGTGCCAGTGCTCCTGCTTCCCTTACCCAGTCTCAGCACAGCCTCTGTGGGCGTGTCTCTCTGCTTGGGACAGACAAATCTGCCCCATGGCTGGGTGCCCTAGTGTGAAGAAGAAGGAGCTCCATGCTGGATGCAGTGTGGACAGGGGACAGATGCTAGCATGCCCCCTGTCCCGTGCTGCCCTGTGGCTGTGGGGTTCCTGTGGGACTGGACTGGGGAACGGACTTACCAGCACTCTGGGGAAAGTCTGGAAGGGCTTTGTGGGTCCAGGACTTCCACAGACCAGTATAAATCTCTTCCTCTTTCTCCTGCTTGCTGCCCCAGAGCAGAGCAGCTGGCGACATCCCCAGCCCAGGGCAGCAGCTCCCATCACTAGGGATGGCTCCCAGGGGAGAGTCTCTCTGGGCTGGGCCTGAGCTCCCGCTCTGCAGACAGCCACCCCTGTGCCTGGCTGAGAGAACAGGTTGCTAAGGGAATGGGCGTCTGACTGGAGGCACTGGAGGCTGGGGCTGCGGGCGGGGTGCATGAATCTCACTCTAGCCTGGAGCTCCGGGCTCAGACCCCTGGCTTGGGGCAGGCAGCCTATCCTGGCACGCACCCACTCGCTGTGTCTCCGTATCTGTTCGGCAGGTTCACTTGCTGAAGGACCAGCTGGCTGCAGAGGCAGCAGCTCGGCTGGAGGCCCAGGCGCGCGTGCACCAGCTCCTGCTGCAGAACAAGGACATGCTCCAGCACATCTCGCTGCTGGTCAGGCAGGTGCAGGAGCTGGAGCTGAAGCTGTCAGGAAGCAATACCAGTAAGAGTTCATTCCCCAGCCTTGCACAGGGACCCAGGAGCACAGCATGGAGGTGTTTGCTGCTGGGCCCTGTGCTGATCCACCAGGGCACAAGGGACTCCCTATCCCTTCCCATTCTCCCCCGCTCCGGTGGTGTGCCTCTGCCATGGTCCCCAGCGCTCCCTGGAGAGGGGATCCCCATGAACGCCAGTGGGAGGGGTCGCCACAGAGCCGTGCCCAGCAGCCCAGGCTGAGCACAGCCCATGGCCAGGGTGGGCGTGCCATGCATACATCTCAGCCCGGTTCCCAGGGGTCAGTGCCCTGACTGACTGCCTGACTCAGGCCTGCAGTGACCACATCTCCTTGTGGGGTGCGGGGTGAGACCCACACCGACTAGACAGCCCCACCGCTTTGCACCCCAGGGTTTGTGGCATGCAAGAGACTGCCCCATGTCTCCTGCTCCCAGCACCAGGATGCCCAGGGAGAGAGAATTTATAATGGGCACCCTGTGGGGAGAGTCCCTGCATGTACTTCCCTCAGCTCTGCAGGGGAAGCTGTGTGCGCACGTGGGTGCAGGGGCTGGGTGTTATTGGGACAGGGCCGTGTGCACAAGTTAGTAGTGTGGATGGTGATTGTGTGTGGTGGGAGTGCGGGGGCTGGGTGTTATTGGGGCTGGGCCATGTACACATGTTGGGGGTGCGGGTGTGTGATGTGTGTGGGGGGGCTGGGTGTTATTGGGGCAGGGCCATGTACACATGTTGGGGGGGGGGTGGGGGGGGTGAGGGCTGGAGGGGGTTATCTTTGGGGGCTGTCCATGCTTTTCCCTGTTGCTGTTCGTTCAGCTAGATCCCCACCTATCCCTCCACCCTCCATCGGCTTCAGTTCCCCATGTGAAAAGCACCACGATCGGGGTGGGTAATGGGGCTCTTGGCCCTGGGTTGAGATCTAGAGCAGGTCTGTGTGCCTGTTGGCTGTCTGCCAGCCCATGTGAGGGGTCAGTGATGCCCTAGGCCATGCCCGCTCCGACTGCCCTTCTCTTTTCCAGTAGGCTCCCAGGACAGTCTGCTGGAGATAACCTACCGCTGCAATGCCCTGCCGGTGCTGTGCGACCCCACCACCCCGAAGCCTGAGGACCTCCACCTGCAGCTGCTGGGCCCTGGCCCTGATTCCACCCATGCCCTGGGCAGCCCCATAGGTAGGAGTGACTGCTTGGTGAAGCTGGAGTACTTCCGCTTCCCCCCAGGCGCTGCGTCACCGTCAGAGCCACTCCTGGGCAGCCTGGAGCTCATCAAGTTCCGTGAGTCGGGCATTGCCTCGGAGTACGAGTCCAACACGGACGAGAGCGAGGAGCGTGACTCGTGGGCCCAGGAGGAGCCACCGCGTCTGCTCAACGTGCGGCACACACAGGGCCTGGGGGACAGCCTGGACGATGAGATCGCTGTGTAGGAGGGTGGCTGTCTCTAGACCGAGACAAGGAGGAGATAGTCCTGGGGAGGGAAGCAGCTGCTGGAGGCCAGGGCTCAGTTCAGTGCTTTAGGCCTGGGTAGGCAGTAAAAGCTCCCTCTCTGCCCCTGTGGCAGGACAAAGTCAGGGCTGCGCTACCTGCAGCCCACACCATCCCAGCAGGCTCTCAGAGCTGTAAGTGCATGTCCTGGCCTTGCTGTGAGAGAGAGGAGATTGAGTGAGCACCCACCCAGCACAGCCACAGAGCACACAGGAGCAGGCACAGGCACATACCCTCCTACGATGTGCAGTCACGTCCGCAGGTCCCTCACCGCGCTGCCCCAAGGCTCTGCCAGCCTGCTGTGCCAGCTTCTGCTCTGACCAGACTCCATAGGCTATGGCCAGCGATGTGTGGCTGTACATCCATGGCACAGCTTTGTCCTCTGTAATGGAACTGGGGATATTTTCGTTAGCCATAAAATCTATAACCCTTGTCTGAATCCTACCAAGCTCTTGGCCCCATAACATCCTGTAGCAAGGAGTTCCACAGGCTCATTGTCCATTCTGGGTAAAAATGAAGAATTTCCCTTGATCAGTGTTAGATTCGTTGCCTTTTATCATCAGTGTACCTCCCCTGGTTCTCACTGAGACAGAGCTCCCACCCGCTTTCTTATCCCATTCAGTCTTTGACATGGCCCTGTCATGTCCCCTCCTATTCATCCCATCTCCAAACAGAGCAGAGTCAGGGGGAATGGTCACAGGAGCTCAGCGTACGGGTAACTCTGCTCCCAGTGGAGTCGAACTATAGATTTCAGTGAGAGACCACCCAGTCCTTGAAACTCCCCGTCCTCAGATGGAGCCTCTCGGCATTGTGGGCACTTGCCTCTGAGCCTCCTTCGATTCCTGGGGAACCAGACCTGACCTTACTGTTGCAGGTCATGGAATGCCCCATATCTGTATAACAGATCCTAGCTCTCTGAACTCCCCACACAGCCGGTGGCAACGGAGCATCTCCCAGCCGGCACTGTATTCATGCCCACACAGCCCTGGGAGGCCAGGCAGGGCTATTGCCTGCTGGACAGATGGGCACTGAGGCACAGAGCTCAAGTCTGTGCAGCACAGGGAATTGAACCCAAGTCTCCCAGGCAGGTGCCAGCCTTGCTCTCCATGGCACCGGTTTTGGAGTTGGTCTCCATCCCAGTCTTGTGCAGCTGTTCTGCACGCTGCTGAGTGACGAGCTGGCACACTCGCTGTTCCAGTCATGCCCGGGTCGAACCTGAGCCATTCAGATCCATTTCAGCCCCCCGGTGTGAAGGAATCACAGATCAGGCATTACCATGCTCTTGTCGAGACACTTTCCCCTGCAGTCACTCCAGCCATTCTCCTCACTCAGCTAGGGCTTGCTGGCCTTCCTAGTCTTGACTAACCTCAGTATTGTGTCATCTGCCAGCACACTCTTTCCTTGTCCCCAGCTCCCTAGGGGTGTGCAGTGAGAGCGGGGCGGCAGCAGGAGATCCCAGCAGCAGAGCAGCTCAGCAGCACTGGCCTCTTCGTATTTTCTTTTTCCTTAAGTAAATCCAGGGAAATGAAATGCCAAAGCTGATGTTAATGCAGTGATGAAGTCAGGAAATTCCACAAGTTCAGGGAGCCGAACTCTTCAGTGGCGTGTACCCCCCACTATCTTGGCGGGGCAAAGTCCCAGGGCTTTTGCTTCACATTTTGGGCAGATTGGCTGCTCTGGCTCCCTAGCAGATAGGCGCCACTTCCTCCTGTTTGCTCTCAAGCTGTCTGGTAAGTTCTCCAGGCTGTGCAGCCTGGCTGGGTCAATGCTGCGGAGAAGACTGTACTGATGGGCCTTGCTGTCATGGGAGTGTTTGTTTGCTGTCCCCATGAGGCTGTGTTAACATTTGATTGGAGGGGCAGAGCAGATTCTCAGGGAAAAGGCTTTGCTCGGAGGGCGCGAAGGCTGAAAGTGCCTGTAGGTGACTCAGTAAAGATTGGCGATTTCAGAAAGCAGACGGGAGCAAGTTCGTTAGGATGGGTTGTCTTGCTGTAGCACCCAGGGTCCCGGACAGGATCTGGCCCTGTCGTGGCTGCATTGGCTATGCCCTCAAGAGGTGGCAGACTGAAAAGATGAGAAATTGACAAAAGCGGGTAGACTAGGGCTCCAAAGGCAAGCAAATGGGTTGGATGAGGGGCTCCAGCAGTGCCCTATCCACAGATCTGTATTCACTGATCTAAAATTGTTTAACCACCCCCTCTTTCCCCTGACCCCTCTCTGGGGCTTGGAGCTACCTCCAGTCGCTGCCTGCTCTCAGCTTTCCCCTGACAATTCGCTGTGATGCCATTAGCCCTGACACTAGGGCAGGGCCATGTGCAACCTTCCCCGCTGGGCCTCCTGACCATCCCCAGAGTCCTGCGAGCCTTCGGAGTTCAGAGCTGGCTGGTGAGCAGCTTCTCTCTGGAGCCACTAATAGGGAGAGCGCAGTGAGCAGGGGACCTGGGTCTATCTGCGGGAGGGTGAGTGGTGAGTTCACGGGGCAGTAGCTGGTGGGTTCCAGGCGTGTGTGGCAGTAACACGGGAAGTGTGTGTGGGGGGGTGAGTGCAGAGGTGCTGGACATGAAGGGAGCAGTGGAGTGGGGGAGTGAGGGCAGGGCTTGAGGAGTGGAATGGGGACAGGATGGGAACCCTAGACTGGCTAGGAAGATTCTCCAGGCTCCGAGCAGAGATGGGCTAGAGCAGGAGAGCAGGGCTCCAGAAGAGCAGCACGGTGATGGGAAGCAAAGGCTGCTACATCCTTGCCCCTCCTGGCCCCACCTTGCCTTGCCTCACCCACACTGGGCCCCAGGCATTGCCTGCTGGGCCCCCCTCTCCTAGCTGCCTCTGCAGAAAGCCCAGGCTCGACATGCGCATCATCTGTGCTTGTTCTGTCTGAGTTACCTGGCGCGTGCAGTGCGAAATCCAGAGCATGCAACCCCAGGGCAAGGCCACGGGACAGCGTGTCCCCAGCACTCCAGGTTCACTTACAGCTCTCTCAAGGGCAGCTGTGAACACTTCCCTCCACTCCCAGGGACTGACGCGTCACCATAACACTGTCGATCAGCTCACCCACTAGCTACTGGCTGGCTGGAGGAGCCCTCGGCTAAGGGCCATTCTGCCCATCTCTGTGCCCAACACGTGCTGTGTCTTACAGCCAACAGTGAGAGCTGCACTGAGGGGTGGAAGGCAGGACCTAAGGAAAGGCACCAGTCATGTTGAGGTTTCCTGAGGGTGGTTCTGGCTCTATTGGAGTAGATCTAACTGGACTTTTAGACTTGTTTCACCACCAGGACAGATGGAGCCAAAATCTCCAAAGATTCTTCTTCCAAGTGCTCAATGAAAATCTGTGATAAATCATGCAGGTTTCTGCAGTCTGGTCAGCTGCCCACGTTCAGAACTCAGGAGGCAGGCTCCAGAGACCATGAGATTGGCTTTCAAAAATAACTGGGGCTCTTTTTCTTTGCTTTCTGATTTCTGAGCCTTTAGGGAGCACTTGGGTCCTGTTTTCGGGCTTTTCTCCACAACTGCGAGGGCTAGAAACTTGCTTTTTTTGGTAAAGGAAAGCTGAGGTTCTCGCACCATCACATGCTTCCAGGAGCTGGAGTTTTACAACTCAGATTGTGAGAGCTGACAACTCTGTTTGTGCACACAAATGCACTTGCAAATGTGGATTTTGTTTATGCAAAACGATGCCCTTGCAAGTGCAATTTTTTGCACCTGAAAGGGGATACACTTGCAAAGCGATTGAGGTTTGTGTGCATGCAAATAAATGTGCTCTTAGCTACTGTGAGGGCAGTCTGGGATAACCTTTTGGAATGTGGCCCTGAGGTTTTTGGAATGCTGGAAGAAGCTTGATTACAATAATTAGTTGGCTTTTGTTTACCCAATTTCTGTGCATTATTTTGATTTTGAATGATGACTTGAACATGCAGGTGATTGAAGTCTGTGGGGGCGTGAGGGGCCCAAATAAGATCCAGATGGTCATGAAATTCCAGTCGTGCCCTTGCATGCCCACTGCTGCTGTGCCCCAGTGCTGTGAGCTGCCCCCTTGCTTCATATCACACGCTGGGAGGCTCAGTGTTTGAGCTAACCTAATGCAGGAGGAAACCAGCCAGAGCACCAGGGAAGATGCCATTAAAAAGATAGGCCAGGCCAGGGCCAGGTTGTCAGACCCTATTGACAAAGCCCTACATGCGTCAGGGAGCCTATTCCCCACCTCCTCCCCTCCTGCATCCTGGTGAAAAACTGTTATATCATACCACTGTCTCCACCACTCAGGGTGGGACCCTGCTGACCAACAGCCTGTCCCAGTGATGTCCCGTCAGAGTGCCCACAGCAGGATGGCTGCCCCGGGGCCCCAGCCTGGAAGGTAACGTCTGCCTGAGACATCCCTCCAGCCTTGTCACTCCCATGGGGCCTGCAGCTCTCCCTGCCTGTTCCTGAGGCTGTTGGTCGCTGCACCAGGACCAGGAGTCAAGACAGGCACTGACATTCCCTCTGCTCCCCTGAGGACATGGGGGCTGGGGAATGGATTCTTCCTCTCTCTTCCCCCGCCGCTCCCACTGCTCGTCTGATCTCTCTTCCTTTTTGCCTGCACCTTCTGCCTGCTCCTCCTGAGCCCGCCCCCAGCATCACCTGCCACGGGCAGCATCCGGTGGCACCTTTGGGGAACTCTAACTGAGCGGGGCCCCTGGCTGTGAGAGCCATTATCTCTGGCACAGGGGGTGTAGAAGCCCCTGAGACCAGGCCTGTGAGCTGCTGTTCTGTGGGGTCAGCACAGTGAGGGGCACTGGGCTGATGGGCCCCCAGCAGGTGGGGGCTGCAGTCCACCCTAACTGCAATGCAGGCACGGGGGCCTGGATCACGGTCATCAGCTGGTGTCTGTGGAGCTGGGGGCAGCCCTAGGTGGGAGGGGCATTTAGCTGATGTTGGTGTGTCGAGCTGCAGCGAGATGTCCAGGAGCGCCCTGGCTGGGGCTGATTTGACCCACTGGATGGAGGGAGAGGTGGTGGCAATGGCTGTGTCTTCCCACCAATGTCCCCTCCTCTCGCCAGGGCTGGGATTGGGCCAGGTGCTGTCATTCAGACAGGCAGGGCAGTGGGGAGGAGGGCCTCCTGGCCAGATGGGCTTGTGAGGGACTGGGGAGCTGCAATGCCTGGTGTGGTCCCGCTCAGAGCTCAGCTGGGCTGTTGGGCTGCCGGGCAAGAGGCTGATCTGGCCTGATGGGTGGGGTGAGCTTGCACCCGTCCCCTGCAGGCCTGGAAGGGGCAGGTGGGCACTGGCAGAGGGGGTGGGAGGTTGACCAGGCAGAACTTCAGGTGGGAAGGGATGGGAACACCAGCAGCCTGCCTAGGCCTGTTGCACAGGTAGGAGATAGGATGGGGGGCAGGATGCAGCTGGGAAAGGGAAGAAGAGAGAGATGAGAGTGCAGGGGGATAAGGGTAAGGATGGCAGCGGGATCGGGGAGGGGGCTGAGGGGACTCCCTGGGACCTTTGGAGGGGCTGGAGAGGGGACTTGGCATGTGAGAGAGTTAATGCAGTGAGGGCAGGAGAATGAGCGGCAGGGCCAGATGCAATAGGCAGGAGTCAGGGTCTGGCTGGCTGACACATGAGGGAGGGGCAGAGAGCAGGGCAGTGGGAGGGAGGGAGGAAGGAAGGAAGGACATTATTGTGAGGCTCTCACCCTCCCTGTTGCTTGTGGCAGGACCAGTCCTGTTCCCCTCTCCTCTCCTTGCCCCAGACCTGCTCTGCACAGCTCAGGTAGGAGCAGGAACAGCAGACCCAGAGGGAGCAGGAGTCCTAGTGAGAGTCCTGTGCCCCTGGGAGTCACTCTTGGGAGTCATGGCACTGGGACACCCCCTCAGGGACTAGGTGCCTTCAGGCAGGCAGGCAGCTGGCTTACTTGGCCTGCTTCCAACTCATCCTTTTTCTCAAGTATCAGAGGGGTAGCCGTGTTACTGTGGATCTATAAAAGCAGCAAAGAGTCCTGTGACACCTTATAGACTAACAGACATATTGGAGCATGACCTTTCGTGGGTGAATACTCACTTCGTCAGATGCATGAGTGATCCTTTTTCTCATCACTCTGGTCTGCTCCCGCTCAGGATGGGGGTAGGGACAGGGTGGTGGCTGCTGCTGGTTCTGAGAGCAGCCCCTTCTCTTGGGGGCCTTTGAAAGGCCGGTAGCCAGTGGCGTGAAGCAATGTGAAGGGGCATTGCTGGAAGGCCCCAGCATGCATCTCACAGGTGTCCCAGAGCTGGGCTGCAACTCTTTCCAGCCTTCTGCTGTGCCCTGGGCCCTGGAACTGTACAGCTGTAAATTCTCCTCCTCCCAACTCCACGCTGCCCAGGAACCTCCTCTCCAGCCTCACACTGTGGTGGTGGGTCTTGGCTGGGGATAGAGATAGATCTATTTTTTGTCCTTTCCTTTCCTACAACTGTTGTGTTACTAACTGTGTATTCAGTCTATCTGGGAAGCCAGTCTGTCAATGTAAGTGCACTTAACCCCTGGATGGTGTTTGTCTATTGGCTTTTGCTAAATAAATCTTTCAATTTCTCAAGGCTTTCTGTCGTCTCTTCTTTCTCTCACTGTCTCTGGATCACTCCTTCCACCTCCCAAACTTCGGGGCCCAAAGCAGGGAAACCAGTTATACCCCAGCAGCCATCCCACTTGGGAATGGAGCTTTCCAGCAGGGGGCTGGAGCAATGTGTGTAATGGGGGTGCTGAGAGCTATTGAACCAAACTATAAACCCTGTATCTGATGGAAACCACTTTAAGCCAGGGGGCATGGCAGCACCTCTAGTTCCAGCCCCTATGCTTTCCAGGCAGTGAAACTTGTCCCCAGAGAGCAGCAAAAGGCACGTCTCCCAGCAGACACTGGGGAGAGCAGGCTTGACCCAGTGCCTTCAGCCACTGGCGATATGAAGAGCCCAGTCTGCTGAACAGACACTAACCTGTTTGGGAGGGTCAAGGGGTTAGTGTCCCAGCATGGTGAGGGGAGAGCAGGCAGCATCCCAACATGATGTCCTCATCTTTGCTGAGAGAGCTGGGTTGAGTATAGATTGCCGTGAGTACCGCTCTACACTGGCACTGCCCCATCGGGCCAGGCACAGTCCGACAGCATGCGGGGCTCCGTGCTGACCCTTGTGCAGACTGGTGCTCGTGCTCTCACCGTTCAGTGGGGTGACCCACACATCCCTCTCTGTGCCAATCGCAGAGGCTGGGAGCCTGACAGAGCCCCAGCTAGGGAGCTGCAGCTGCTTATGAAAGTCTAATGGGGTGACCTGGGTCGTTACAGGCCTGTCAGTCTGACGTAGACCTTGGATAAGATAATAGAGTCATTGATATGGGACTCAATTAATAACAGAGGGTCATTTAATTAATGCCTGTCAACATGGGTTTATGGAAAATAGATGGTGTCAAACTAGCTTTATCGTTCTTGGATGAGATGACAGGTCTGGTTAATGAAGATAATAGTGTTGATGTAAGAGATTTAGACTTCTGTGATGTGTCTTGGAACTGCACAAAATTGTGGTTAAAAAACTACAAAGATATAAAATGAACATGTCACACTTTAAGTGGATGGCTAACTGATGGGGTCTCAAAACGTGTCAAACGGAATCATCACTGATCGGAGTGTTTCTAGTGGTGTCCTGCAGGAATCAGTTCTTGGCCGTACACTGTTTAACATTTTCATTAGTGACCTGGAAGCAAACATAAAATCATCACTGATAAAGTTTGCAGATGGAACAAAAATTGGGAGGGGCAGGGTGGTAAATAGTGAAGAGGACGGGTCACTGGTACAGAGCAATCTGGATCACTTCGTAACCTGGGCGCAAGCAAACAATATGCATTTTAATATAGCTAAATGTGTACATCTGGAAACAAAGCATGTAGGCCATATTTACAGGCTGAGGGACTCTACCCTGGGAAGTAGGGACTTTGAAAAAGACTTGGGGGTCAGGGTGGATAATCAGCTGCACATGAGCTCCCAGTGCAATGCTGTGGCCAAAAAGACTAAGGTGATCCTGGGATGCAGAAATAGGGGAATCTTGAGTATGAGTAGAGAGATTATTGTACCTCTCTATCTGGCACTGCTGCGACCTCTGCTGGAATCCTGTGTCCAGGTCTGGTGCCCACAGTTCATGAAGGATGTTGATAAGTTGGGAAGGGTTCCGAGCAGAGCCACAAGACTGACTGAAGGATTAGAAAACCTGCTTTATAGTGATAAACTCAAGGAGCTCAATCTATTTAGCTTAACCAAGAGGTGGTTAAGGGATGACTTTCTCACTGTCTATATGTATCAACATGGGGAACAAATGTTTGTTAATGAGCTCTTCAGTCTGGCAGAGGAACATCCAACATGACCAAATGGCTGAAAGCTGAAACTAGATAAATTCAGACTGGGAATAAGATGTAAATTTTGAACAGTGAGAGTCATTAACCACTGGAACAAATTACTGGGGGCCATGGGAGATTCTCCATCCCTGACGATTTTTAAATCAAGACTGGGTATTTTTCTAACAGATCTTCTCTGGGAATTATTGTGGGCTGGTCTCTGGCCTGTGTCCTACAGGAGGTCAGACTAGAAGATCGCGATGGTCTCTTCTGGCCTTGGGGTCTATAGATGTGTACCATTTAGTTCCTGGGGGGGGCTGGCCAGGATGGTGGCCATCACCCTGGCAGAGCTTCCCAATCAATGCTGGGGGCCTGCCGAGCTGCTCGTTGTCACTGTTCAGCCAGGGCCGCAGCCGTTCAGTCCTACGCAGCAGCTGGCTGGTGTCTAGAGCAATACAGAACAGGCCCCGTCTGACCCGTTACTGCCATCACATGGGTGACTGCAAACCGCAATGGCTGAGGAGCTGACCTCAGCAAATGGGAGATCCAGCTGGGACCTCCCATTGTGTTCACTTCATGCCCTGCCTTTGTTACCAAAGCGCCGTACCTGGTGGATGGGAATATACTGCTGCTGCTTGTCTGTGTGTCTCACAGCCAGCCCTCCAGTACCATCCTGCCCATCCCCAAGCCGGATCCCCAAGTCCCCAGTACAGGGCAACCCCAGTCCTGGAGAACAACTTCTCTCAGGGCCTGTAAAATGACACAGAAAAAGATGACTTCTTATAAAACGATGAATTTTTTGTTTCCAAAGCCAAAGTGCGAGTGCACTGTGGAAAGGCGCCAGGCCGTCTTCTCCCTGCTCCCCACCAGCCTAGACAGCTCAGACAGGGAGTGGGCTTTAGAGCCATCCCAGTCATCAGTTACTGGGAATCCAGATTGCAGGAGTGAGGAATGAAAGCAGCAGTCTCCCTCGTGCTCCCCGTGCATCTCAGACCCACACCCTTCCCAGGGCTCCACAGCTGTCCCCGGAAAGCCAGGCCAGTCTGAGACTGGGCAGCAGCTGGGACGGTGCACGGAGAGGCTGCTGCCTGGAGCCCCTGCAGGATCTCACCCCTCTGCTCTCCAAACCAACCCATCCCCACTTCCCACCCGCCGACGGATCCTGGCGTGGCTTGAATAACGTCTTGACCCTTCCTTTCAACTAGCCTGGCGTTGCCTGCCCTCGCTTGTTCCGAGGAACCTCTGGGGGAAGGCTCTTTACTCTCGTGTTTGGGAAGCAGCCCAGACTTTGGCTAAAGACATCCATTCCCTCACGTTCGATGTAAGGGTCCTTCAGAGTCGCTGCCTGGTTTTCGGAAATGCCCCTCCCACACTGGACTAGTTCTGGGGACACACGCCTCCCTCAAACAGGTCCCGTGGGATCGGTCACCAGCACGCAGCGGCTCAGCTGTTGGCACTTCCTGCCCGGGCTGCTGGGCGATAGTGAAGGCTGATAAGAGTGGTCTCTCTCCCAGGGGGTCTGGAACAAGCAGCCCCAAGAAGCAGGCACCTGAGCTGTTGAGAAATAGCTTCTCGGACCCACTCCTGAAGAGTTGTTGGCTGGGGGATATGTGGGGATCTACGCCTGGGCTCTGATCAGCGCAGAGTGACAGGGGAACAGGCCTTTTCACCATAACAAAACTAGGTGCATACAGATCCCTTGGAGTGGGGCCTGGGATGCTGGGTCGGTGTGCAGGAGTCATTGTGCTAGAGTGGGGGCCTGCTGGGAGGGTGAATGGGGGGCTGCGGGGCCGTGGAGGACCAGGGGGGGGCAGAGGCTGACTAGGGACTCACTCCTTAGGGGTCACACTGCTGGGGAGGGGAGGCTGTGATCCAGCAGGGAAAGGCAGGGGTTCGCCTAGTTATGTCCCAGGATGAGGGCTGGGGCTGCTGTATCCCTGCATCTAGCCCACAGGGGCCCCTGCCACAGGGTGCTCCACAGAGAAACGCTGCCTGCTCCTAATAATCTGCTTTATTCGGGTTCTGCCGTAGAGAGTGTAAAGCGCTGCACTGCCCCCAGGCGGAATGTGCTGGGGGCTGCGCGTCCACCGGGGGCTGGGTCACTTAGGTGTTTTACAGCTGCCAAAGGCCGGCCGGTTGCTGGGCCGGGCCGTGCACTCCTTCTCCCACAGCACTTTGAGCCTGTGGTAATACACCTGGCAGCTAAAGCCCTCCTTGAAGCCACACTTGACGTGGGTCTTGAGCGAGTGCAGGGTAGGGAAGACGCGGCAGCAGGCCACGCACTTGTAGCCATTCTGTGGCGCCGGCTGCCACTTGGAGGCCATGAGGATGTCCTGGGACGTGATGCAGTCCCTGGCCTCCACGCCGGGGCTGGCTCTCCTGGTGCCCTCAGTGGGGCGAGCCTTCTCCAGGGAGCAGGAGGAGGAGCAGATGCTCTCCGGGAGCTCGTCAGGCTGGCTGGTGTCCCTGGCGCTGGCCACCAGCGTGTCTGGGAAGCTGCAGGCCTCCTGCTGGCTGACCTCGTCCATGCACACGAAGTAGCTATAGGGGGAGAACCAGGGCCGGTAGATGGTGCAGTTGCACCCTAAGGGTTCGCTGCTCTGGCCGTCGCTGGGGACAGAAGCTGCCAAGAGAAGAGGCTGGAATGAGCCCCTGGCCCAGTGGAGGGCAGGCTGTGGGGAGGGAGGCCATGGTCTGGGCTCACCTTGCCCTTCCCCCTCCCCTTGGCAGCTTCCCTCCCCCTCGGGCACCACTTGGGTCGGTGTTCATCCCGGGATGCTCCTGACCCGCCTGCCCCGCCCCGATCACAGGGTTCCTGCTGGGCCAGACTGTGTGAACGTGGGCTGGCAGCCACATCTGTCACACATGGGTGAGGCTGAGAGTCTGTCGTGGAGGATTCTGTGACTTTCCGCAACCTCCGTGGGCCCAAGCAGTGGCTGGCCCCAGGGGCTGCCTGAGCGGTGGCCAGTGCGGCTGGCCCCAGGGTTCCCCAGAGCAGCAGTGCCCAGGGCCCCCAGCTAGGATTTAGTCAGAGGTATTTATAGTAAAGGTCACGGACAGGTCACAGGCCGTGAATTTTTGTTTACTGCCTGTGACCTGTCCAGAACTTTTACTAAAAATACCCATGACTAAATTGTAGCCTTATACCTGGCAACTGGCAGCATCTCCGGGGGTTTGCTCTGTGCGTCCCAGGGACGGGCATCACCTGCCGGTTCCTCCAACACCCCCACACTCTCAGAGTCCAGAGGGACACAGGCACAGGCGCTCAGAGAGCACAGATAGATACACAGACAGTGGCTGTCCGAGTTTGCGCGCACACAAAAGGCCCCCACCACGTGCTGCTGTTGTGCTGTGCCAGGGGGCGCTGGATGGGTGCAGGGGGCATTGCTTGTCCAGGGCTGGGCCCCTCAAGGAAATGTTTTGGAAATTCCTGTGTTACAAATACACAGAGAAAAGCCAGTGAACCAAAGGGGCACCAAGTGTGTGTCTCGGGGGGGTGGAGAGGCCCCAAACAAAGGGGTAGCGTGGGGCATGGCAGCAGAGAGGGGACCCTATGGTGCCGACGACTGGTCTGGGCTTGTCTCCAGCAGTCAGTTCCCTTCACGGAGCGTTTGGAGAGCCACGCTGGTGCCCTCCTGGAGGGGAAGCTGGGTCAGTGTGATACAAGGAGCCCCTTCCTGTCCCCAAGGGAAATGCACATCCTGCCACACTGTGACTTTGTGCCCCAAGTCATCCCCTGCTCAGCTCTGCTTCGCTGAGCACTGTAGGGAGCCTCTGTAGTGTAATGGAAGAGATAGCTGGGTCTGACTGGAACCCAGTGTTTGTGGCCCCAGGGCTGGGGAACAGGGTTGCCATGTAGTGCAGGCCCCCCGGGAAATGGTCAGACCTTTCCTCTCCCTGCATGTGCCGTGGGCAGGGCAGGGGCAGAGCTGTCCAGCTGCAGGTCCTGGCCATTCACCCAACGCTGGGAGGCTCAGAGGGCAGCGCTGATCCCAAGCAGTGGTGGTGCGTGACGGGCATCGAGGACTGGCTCAGGCACAAGCCTGTGATCGGTCAGAAAAGCGTACAAGCAAGGGGGGGTTCTGTGGCTGAACAGCGACCGCCCCGGCCTGAGATCCTGCACGAGGCCTCTGGGCACATGAACGACAGGCCCATGCATTTTCCCTTGCCCAGTTTTACAGCTAGGGAAATGAGGCCCAGAGCAGGACAGTGCCTTGTCCAAGGTCACCTGCCAATGCCTAGCCCTGCTGGAAGTAGCTCACTGGTTTCCTGACTTCCTGGGCCTGGCCTGGTTGGCTGTGTTTTGCCTAGGAAAGGTGGCGTGTATGACCCAAGGCGGGGATCAGAGCTGGCTCATCTCCTGGCCTCTGCTACTGACTTACTGTGGGACCTTGCCCAACTCACTTAGGCCACAATTTTCAAGAGAGGCCTCTGGTTTTGAATGCCCAGTTTGGGACAGCTGGCCCCTGATTCCAGAAGTGCTGGGGGCCCACAGCTCGCATGATCTCAGTGGGAGCTGTGAGTGCTCAGACCCACTGCAAATCAGGCCCCAGGGCTCTAACAATGAGTACCGAAAATCAGAGCACACTTTGGAAAACATCAGCATCTGTGTGCTTCAGTTTCCCCACCAGTACAGCAGGGATCATACCCCTCCTCCACCTCATGGGCTGTCCTGGGATGCTGCTTATAAAGTGCCCTGGGGCAGGTGGTGAGGGTGCTGGAGAAGTGCAACGTCATTCTGTTCCATGCCATGCGAGGGCTGGCTGTGGGCTCTCACTGTGGCCCCGTTACCTGGCAGACTGGGCGTGCTCCTGGGGGATGGCAGCTCACGTACGCTCTTCATGGCATAGCTGGGCAGACGAGGCCCAGAGATCGTCAGCAGGGAGAAGTTCTCCATTCCCTCTTGAGACGGGTGCAGAGAGCAGGTCCTGGCTGGAGAGTTTCTGGGGCTCTGGACAGCCTCTGGCTGGATTGCCCAGGGCCTTGGCTTTGTGACATCACCAGCTGACCTCACAGTCACCAGGTGGGTCCCCCAGCTCCAGCGAGGGATCAGCGTGGCTCTGGAGGAAAGGAGTGGGGAGCGTCTGGCCTGGGTGTTTGAATGGGTTTAAAGAGGTTATGTAGCAGCTGTTCCTGGGACTCGTCTCTGTAAGTCTTGAGGCCTTTGCTAGTGCGTACAGTGGCCTAGCAAGGACCATGCCACAGCCCTGAGATATCAGTGACTGCATCTGGAGACAGGCACGTTCCAGTCTCATGGCACACGCATTGACTGCGTGTGTCCAAAGTACTCGCGTTCACTCTGCCCCATGCACCCAGTACTCCTGCACACGTACAGCCATTTGCCATTAGGTCCTGCAGCCCCTTTCGTCTTGGACCGTTTGTTAGCACTCAAGCACTTGGATTATCCTGGAGCAACTCTCTCCAAAGCCCACCTGCCGGCCTCTGGTGCAGGACATTCCGGCTTCGAACACCTGATCATAAAGAGGTATTTGAAATGGCTGTTACTTGTTTTCCCAGCTGCTTGTGAGTCCCCCGACCCCTCTTGGTTTAAATCTAACCCTCAGGAAACTGAGGGAGGTTCTGTTTGCGCCATGGGGAGAGTGCTCGTTGTATTGTCTGTCTCTAAAGACTGCAGCCAAGAGTTTCAAAAATGGGGGCCCATAGCTAGGTTGCGACGTCCCTATGTAGGCACCTGGCTAAGCAGCCAGATTTGTACAAGTGCTGTACCCACCAAAGGCTGACTTGAGACCCCCAGTTGTGCAAAGCTGGCTCTGCCCCCTGGGTGGCCATGGTATCAGCCTGGAGAGTTAAGGAGATGCCAGTCGTGATGATGAGGCTTGCCACATGGTGGTCCATGGCAATGGGTGTCCTTCCCCCACACTTCGCCATTCTGACTTTCACCATCTGTATTTTCTCCAGCCCAAGCACATTCCTAGGGCAAGCTATATTGCGCCGTCTATAGGTTAAAAAAGCTCGCAGCTGTTATCTAGTTAGGACTAAACCTATTTACAGCTCACCTAGGGCATTTGTGCCATGTAGAGAGAGCTGCAGGGAGAGAGTTGGTCTCCGCTCAGCGGTTGCCTGACTGAACCAGATTCTGCTAGGAACTTACAGGTGTGGGTCACAGGCCAAAGGGCTTCAGACACCTTGGACCAGGTCCAAAGCTGCTTCTGCAGCATGTCTCAGAAACACCTCTCTCTGGGCATGGCTACGCTGCAATTAGACACCTGTGGCTGAGGTCTGCCTGGAGTGCAAGTCAGACTTCTATGCAGCATTGCTCTCAGCTTTACAGCTAGATCTGCTGCCAGGAGGAGAACAGCAGTGCCATCCTATTCCCTCCCCCTTCCCTGCACATAGCAGCCGCAGCTGGGTCAGATCAAGCCCCAGAAACTTCCCCTGGCTGCAGGAAGCTCTGCACCTCAGTGGGGGTCTGGGTGTGGGGTGGGTTCCAGGTGCGGGAGGTGAGGCTCAATGGAGGGGTTGGGTGCAGGGGGGTTGGATGGACAGGGGGAGCAGCTCCCTGTACAGTTACTCCCTCCCCTCACCTATGCACCCAGAGCCCTCTAACACTGAGCCCCCCTGCATCAGGAGCCCCCCATACCCAGAACCCCCCCCTTAAGCCCCCCAAACCTCTACTCTGCTGAGCCTCACCCCCTGCTACAGGAGCCCCCACACTCATACCCTCACCCCACTGATCCCCAACCAGCTGCACCCTGACCCCCCCAACCTAACAAGCCCCACTCCCCCATACCTCCCCCCAAGCCCTAACCACCTTCACCTGGACTCCCCTGTAGAGTTCCATTCCCCCTGCACCAGAACCATGCACTAACCCCTGTGCATCCAGATTCCCCCCTGTACCCAGACCTCCCACCATGCTACCCGCACTCAGATTGCGCCACACAGAACCCTAGTACTCTTGAGGGAATTGTGTGCCAGAAAAATAAAACATTTAAAATTCTACAAAGTCCTGCATATTTTAATTGTCAAAATAACACAGAAAAACAATAACAATATAATCACATCATTTTCAATTATTTTGGTAATAATAATTGTCAGCAAATAATTGAAAATAGTGTGATTATATTGTGTTATTCTGACAAAATATGCAGAAAGAATTTTAAAATATTGTGCGCAGAAATTTTTTATTTTTTGGTGCAGAATTCCCTCAGGAGTAACATTGAGCAGATATTTTCAAAGAATTATCCGCCACTCCAAGACTTTTCTTGAGTGATAACAGCTAATTTAGAATCCATCATTGTGTATGTATAATTGGGATTATGTTTTCCAGTGTTGATTACTTCGCACTTATGAACTTTGAATTACATCTGCCATTTTGTTGCCCAGTCACCCAGTTTTGTGAGATCCCTTTGTAACTCTTTGCAATCTGCTGCGGACTGAACTATCTTGAGTAATTTTGTATTATCTGCAAACTTTGTCACCTCACTGTTCCCTCCCCTTTCTAGATCATTTATGAACAGCACAGACCCTTGGGGGACCCTGCTATTTACCTCTCTCCTTTCTGTAAACTGACCATTTATTTCTACCCTTTGTTTCCTATCTTTTAAGCAATTATTGATCCATAAGAAGACCTTCCCACTTACCCCATGACCTCTTACCATTGTCCGTTCTTGACAGCGTGTGTGTTCTCTCTGTGTGCTGCACCAGCTCTTGAGGTAGCTGGCCAAGCAGACCTCGATCGAACTGCCCAAGAAGACCACAGACTCAGTTCGGTAGCGAAGGCACTTAGACAGATCTATTGCCAACGTAGCACAGTCCTAGTGCCCGGCAGACTCTATGGGGCCACTAACACGCGTATGCCTGTCACAATGGACTCAGCTCAGTGAGTGGCTGAACCTTCCTCTCCCACCTCGGCCAGACAAAGACACCCCGTCAGCAACCCCTCTTTCATACAGTGATACAAACCAGTGACATATTGCCCCTCTGACGTGGCTAGTTATCATCCTTTACCTTGTATCTGTTGGTTTGATCAAAACATCTCTCTCCATCACACTGTCATGCTGACCTTATCTTTAGGAGGGGTCAGTGTGGCCCTATTATCTTCGGGGAGTGTGTTTATACCATACTAGGTATCAGGGTGTTCTGGCACCTTCCTTCTGGAATGTGTTTATGTGTGCCTCCTGTGCCCAGCACTTCTTAGGAGTTTTTGCAATACTAGCCCTGTTCTTGTCAAGTTCATGTATCGGATAGTGAACCTACAAGCAGGCATGTCTTGTAACAGGGCCTGGTTTTTGCTCATAGCCTGACTCTTGCTAACTTTGCTTTATAGTATCAGGGCCTGACTTTACTTCAGGCCTTAGGCCTCATACCAGGCCCTTTATACCAGGTCTCATGTCTCAGGCTTTCTCTTTCTAATACATTTATTTTGCTTAAAAGCCTTTGGAAGGGACCTTGTCAAAGGTTTTCTGAAAGTCTGAGTTCACTAGATCCACTGGATCATCCTTGTCCATGTGTTTGTTGACCTCCTCAAAGAATTCTAGTAGATTGGTGAGGCATGATTTCCCTTTAAAAAGCCATACTGACTTTTCTCCAACAAAACGTGTTCATCTATGTGTCTGATAATTCTCTTCTTTACTATAGTTTCAACCAATGTGACTGATACTGAAGTTAGCTTAACAGCATGTGATCAGGAGCCTTTTTTAAAAACCAATGTTACATTAGCCACCCTCCAGTCATCAGGTCCAGAGGCTGGTTTAGGTGATAGGTTACATACCACAGTTAGTAGTTCAGCAAGTTCATATTTGAGTTCCTTCAAAAGAACTCTTGGGTGAACACTATCTGGTCCTGGTGACTTATTATTGCTTAATGTGTCAGTTTGTTCCAAAACCTCCTCTAATATGGTACAATTGCTCAGATTTATCACCAAAAAGAATGTCTCAGGTGTGGGAATCTCCCACACAGCCTCTGCAGTGAAGACTGATGCAAACAGTTAGCGTCACCACAATGGCCTTGTCTTCCTTAGTACTTAAACTATTGCTTCTCACTGTCACACCCCTACAGACCCGCACCTTTGGTTCTCCTTCCCCACTTCTTCAGAGCCTGTTCTGGGGTTACTGGCTACGTGGCAGGAACAGAGAAGCTGACACTCCAGGCATAGTCGGGGCATGGCCCTTTCTATGTTCTGATCCATGCATTGAGATTTCATGACTCGGTCCCATGGGCTGTGCTCACTCGGGGTTCTGACTTGGAACCTGGGTCAGACACATTGTGGGGTCAGGAGACTCCCTATGGAGGCTGCTGGAAGAGCTGCAGTTACTGCCCAGGGCCTGTCTCCCTGGCTGGGGAGGTCTCTGCGGGAGAGCACAGCTCCACCAGGCTGGTCCCTGCCCCGCTGGAGGGAACTGCTCAGTGCCGGTGGGGCCGGGGTGCACTGGGCTGCATGGAGCTGGGTGCATACATTTGCATGTGTGTAAGCGTGTACAGATAGGGCCTCGTGGCTGGGTTTTTAGAAGCCTTTGGTGGTAGCTGTGGAACAGGCAGGGCCGTTTCCAGCTCCCCTGGGGTGGGAAAGGCTTGGTACCAGCGGGTCGGGGGGTGGAACTGCTGACAGCTGTGTTAGGGAGCAAAGGGCAGGCCGCTGGCTCCAGAAGAGCTAGAGCACCCCCCACCCGGCCTCAGTCCTCACCTGAAGGGAGCCCAGGAAAGGAGGAAGGGGGGTCAGTTGCCAGTCCCAGGCTCTCTTTGCTGGGCTGCCATCAAGGGAGCCATATCATGCTGGCTTCCTGGGCCCTCGCTGACCCCTCAGAGGCACATGTTCCAGCTCCTCCCCACAGGGCTGAGTGGCTGAGCAGGCCCAATCCCAGAGCTGCACTGGGCTCGCTGCGTGGACAGGCTGTTGGTCAGTGTGTGGTTGCACCATGCCATGCTCGGTGTGGCAGC